GGAGAGGGGGGGGTTGTTGGGTTGTGTCAGTCCGTACAGGGTCTTTAGGGGATGGGTTAGCAGGGTTTTCTTGGCGGGAGTTATCATGTCCCGTACGAGTCGTTGGGCATAAGGTTGATCCATGTCCGTACACTCCACATGTGAAACAAATGTCCGGCAGGCTTTCGTATTCAACTCTTTGGGTCCGACCCCCTATTTCAAAGTCTGAGCATAATGGTTGGGACAAATTCAACAGGCACGCCAAACGGGCATACTTGCCACGAATACGAGCCGCCGTTTGGTAATCTATCTTTACAACCTTACCCACGATTTTCCCGATGGACCGGAAGACTTCGGTATTGTAAAATTGCACAGGGAGACCGGGCAGACGAATCCACGCGACAACTGAATGGGTGCGGATATTAGTCGCGTCAAAATTCGCCGACCAAGGTTGCACATGGAGGTAGTGGTTGGCTACCACCCAAGGGCCATCTGTAAGCGCCCGTAACTGATCCTCGGGTGAATCAAAGCGGACAACGTAATAGCCATTTTCCAAGTCCATCATAGGGTTATCTCTGATTGACGGCCATAGGGACGACAAGCGTTTATGCATCATCAAGGGTGAGAGGGAGTGACCAAGTAGGCGAACCACCACTGCATGTTGCCATTCTTGCACCAGCGAATCCCAAAATGGATCAGAGAAGAGGATTTTCCCTGAGCGGCCATTCATGACCACCGTGATACTATCTGTGGGTGGATCATCCTCATTCAATGGGGCAATCGTCACATGAGGTCGATTTTTGTTCAAAAGATCCCTGAAACTCAAATTCGGCGAAATCGTTCGTGCGGGGGTAACAAGCGGATGCTGGGCAGGAGTAGCCCCCTGATGATCAAACCCTCCAGAGGCGCGGCGTTTCTTGGATGATCCAAGGGGGTTCAGGTTCTGCGGATATGCCTCGAATGGCCGGGGAGACCCAGAATGGCGCAAATCGGGAGGGTCCAGTCGGGGATCGCCCGGCGGCTTGACTGTTGTTGACGGAGCGCTGCGTAGGGTTTCAAAGGTCGCCATATTGTGGATCAATTTGGGATTTTATTTTATTGAGGGGTTTCAAAATCGTCGATTTCACCGTGACCCCAACAACTCAGTCGAAAAGCTTTCAAATAAATTCGTTTAGAATTTAAATACGCAGATCTATCAGATCTTCCGAGGCGGCGGTGGAAGTGGCTGGCTGGAGTCGGTGGAGGTGGCGACGGCGATAAGGCTCGCTATCGGGACGGCTGCCGGCATAGGGTTTCCTTTTTTCCCACAAGAGTGCAACAAAAGTATGTATTTCATAATATAACGATGCATTTTTATTCAACGAGTGCCTTTAAACACAAATTATTGCAACTAGAGACCAAGATTCAAAAAATTATAAAAAAGGAATAGAATAATATATTATTAAAAAAGTTAGCATATAATTAAATAGAAGGGAAAAGCTAAGGTCCCGTCACGGAACCATTTCGTCGGGATTTGTAACCGTTAGATTATCATATAACCATCAGAGAGTTTTGATCTAACAGTTACAAAACTCGACGGAATGATTCCATAACAGAACCGTAACATATTCCTAAATTGGAAATTCGACAGTATCTACCCTACCGAAATTGCTTATAAATTGGGTTACGAAAAATACACTTAACAAACATCCATTCATTAATTTTTGTTTTTATCATAATAATATCAAAATCTAATATGCCAAAATATATAGTTC